TTTAATGTTTTCTAGCATTAAGTTTTCTTTACTTCTTTTCAAACAGAAATGAAGTTATTGAATAATAATAGTATCCTGTAAAGAACTACGTAAATAAGAGTATTTTGGTTTTATAATAATATTTGGTCAATGTTTGAGTTATTTCGCACTTAAGTCCACAGATTTCGTTGTCGTTGAAAATTTGGCTGCTTAAGTATACAGAACCATAGTTTTGTACAATTTTGTCATTGCATCTAACTTAGTTACTGCAAAATGTGTTAAATTCAGATTGTCTCACAAAATTTCGAACCGTGAAATATTTCGAAGATGTTAAAAGAAGACGATCTTGGTTATTAATTAAGGTAAAAGAGGGGATCTATAAATGGGACAACTTAGTTATTATTTCCGCCTTAAAAAATTGAGCCACTACATGAGATTTAATTGTTTGAAAGGCTCCCTTTTATTTTCAATATTTGTGTTCTTTTGATCGTCAATTAAAATAAACCTTAATTCAGCCATTGAGGATTCTAAAATAATTTTTTTCCCAAACGTTGTTCCAAAACGTTCTTTGCCTGTCTCTCTATTTGTCACAGTTTTTCGACTTTCCGAATTCGATTAATTGTTTGATTCCTAAAGTTTAATCAAGGAAGTTAAGTTTTACTGCTTTCGGTTAATTTTTCGTGGAAAAAATTACTGGCGTTAGCTTCACTTGTTATATGTTGGAGGCTGAAGAAACAAGTATTTTTTGAGATTTTATGTTGACATTATATACTAAATTTACCTTGGGATTCGAAAATCTTATTTGAGCAGCTCTTATTTTTCCTGTTTTGACAAATGCAGTTTAACTACAAAATCCTTAATTATTGGTGAATTTTTTCAATATTTCTATTTTAAATTTATTTTATCTACCTTACAATATTAGATTGATTGAATTAAATTGCTTTCAATTAGTGGTCATTTTAGATCAAATTTCAATGCACATTACGCGAAGTAAGTGAAAGGGATACTTTTAAATGGCAAGAACAGGCCGTTCAAAACAGTTTGCGTCTTGATATTATTTGGGCCTTAGATTCTCTCGTTCACTTCACTGAAGTTTTATTTAAAACCGACCTCTCCAAGGGGGTAATTTCCACCCTAAGCGTACAATCACCACAATTCTTTTATCAATCAAGGATCACTTGTATTTACCTACCATCCTTCCTCCCTTGAATACAAATGAATAGTCCTTCCACAGTGCGATCAAGTCTATTGATTCATTGTACGTCAACGGACTATCTGGAATGCCCAACTACCATGTCACTTCTTTAATAGTTCGGTTTACTTTCTTAAGCAGAAATCTTTTTCATTTATCAATTTCTTTTAACAAGAACTTTTTAATGCCTGGCCCATCCCATAAAGACATTTAAATAGTTCCGATCACCTTTTCAAAAGTTTGACCTCAATTACATTTGGCCATCTATTAAAAGATTTGTAGATATTTCTAGTAAGCAGTTTTTGATATTAGCAATCTACTGATCTTTTTTTTAATTTACCAATACCCTTACTGTCACGAAAGTAGCTAATATGTGTGAAAGTTATTCCGCTTTTAATTAATGATCATAAATAATTGCAAATCCTCCAATCTCATTCACTTTCTACCTACTTTACTACTCAGGTGCATCCCATCAAGATATTTAGGAAATAAAATTCATTTATATTTGTTTTTTAACCTCTTATTTAACGAAATATTTTCAAAAGGTGCTTATAGGACTTATACTTCTTTACTATATATGCAATGTCTTGCTATACGTGATTCATCCCCGTATCATCGTTTATCACAATCCCTAAAAAAATAAATTTTGCGGTCAGTTATGCCTAATGTGTTTTATGTCCACAGTCGTTAGTTTACAAACGTCTACCTTGTTTCCATTTCCAAATTAAGTTGAGATAATACAATTGATTTTTGGACTATGTTATTTCGGTTTCAAATCGTTGCTGAAATTAATTGGTACCGAATAAATCCAAAAATCCGTGTAAAATATGATGATAAGTTAAAATAAGTAAAATTTTATTTCACTTTTCCCCTACAATGCAAATTTGCTAAACTTAAAAGTGAATAATATTTCATTTTGTAACTTTTTTCCTCAGCAACACTTAGAATCTTGTGATTGTTTAAAATTATTATGTTGAATTGATTATGCATCGGTTTTGTATTACGAATTTTCTTTTCGATAGTCATGAGATTTTCATTCTAAAGCATTATTGCCAATTCGCTATTGTAGATTTATGCCATGTTTTCCCTAATTAAACCGTTCTAATTCAAATTATTTCGTTGAAGCGCTTTATTTTATTATCAAATACAGAGCCATTAGGAAAATATAATCGACTGGACACAAGATAACTTCATAGAATTGAGCTATGTACTGATATGTTAGACATATTTTTTTGCGATATCCGAGGTCACGAGTTGGAAATTTATCGGTGCATTCAGAACGATCTATTTCATCAAGAGGCAAATTTTTGACAAAAAAGCGAGGACAACTTTCAACTGCGTTTGTTTTAGCAATATTGACATATTCAATCTGTGTTTTTTATAAACCCTCAATCGTGTGAACTCATTTAAGTTCAACAAATGAGCTAGAGGAGGAATTCGGCAACATTCTGACGTCAATTCAAGTTACCAAAGGGTCCTCCTTCACTCTAATCATATTTTGAATAGAGCGTAGCTCAATATCTAATTAGTAGAAACTCGATGTTGCATAATTCGATAATTATATTGTTTCTATTGAACGATCGTTTTATAAATTAGGCATGCCTCACCATCTCATGCATTTTTGTTCCCGCAGAAAAGGAAGTCAAGTGTTTTGGCCTTTTATCTTACTTAATATGTGCTAGAATAAAATTGACTTTCATGTTGGTCTCGTGAAATGCGAATTTGTAGCTCTAAAAAGGCCCATTAAAAGGAGCAATCCACCACCACAATTTTCGCAAACTTTTCACAACCACAAAATATTTATTCCATCAGAAAGGGTAAAGGAAATTGGATTGAGGCAGAGCGTGAGGCACAGCCAAATAAAGCATTCAGTCAAATTTCTAAGGGGTCAAACTTGACACTTTAATAAGTGGTAAGTAACAAAAATCAGAGGAGATGGTGGCGGTGGCGGTGGTGGTGGTGGCGGTGGCGGTGGTGGAGAGGAGAAATTTCCTGATTATGTCGAAACACTTACTTGTCCGAGTTTCTAGATGGTGGATATTAAAGCTCTGATTCTGCTATAAGTTTCATAATTAAAAGATTATTAATTGCTTAATTCATTTGTCTGTTAACATATTGATGACCAGAAAATTCACGAAAAATGTCACCTATTCGTAGCTTTGATTAGTTTTTTGCCAAAGTATTGCGTGTTATTTGATGTAATTGTCATTGGAATCTTTTTCCCACTTAGACCGTGAGGCTTAATATAATTATGAAAAGTTGCTTTTTTCACTACACGACATTTCAACTAAAATAGTTCATTCTGATTTCGAAAGTGAAAAATTCGAGATTTTAAGAATATACTCCACTACGCCGCGTACTACTTGAACATCTCCCCAAGTTATTATGGTTAATTAATGAAGACAGCATTTTGAGTATAATAAAGGATCTATAGCTGAATAGTAATTGCAGCGAAGGGACTGGAGAGAACATGTTTTGATAGGGTCCTAGCCTATTACATTATAGGAAGGTTCAATTGTTGACGTCATGAAATCGAGTTGACATGAAGACATAGGGAACGAACTCGTTATCCGTTCTCCATGTCAAGAAGGAGATATCCTTTGACCTAGACGTTCGTCAACTTTAATGCTGATTTCTACCCTTTTATTGAATACGAACTTTGATGTAGAATAGAGATGTAAATTTATCCATCACATGATTAGTATATTTTGTATAGTGATTTTCTTACAAAATAAGTTTGTTTTTGTGGTTGGAGTGACTTTTTTTGTTGTTCTACGCTTACCAAGTAATTCAAATACTCTTTTGTCTTTTGGTTATTTTAAGTTCAAGTATTGAAATGACGGTTATTATAAACGTCATAAATGGACGTTTTTGGTGTACAAAACAGTGCCAATTAAACGGCCTGATGATTTTCAAAGTCCAAATTTAGTAATACCGTTTATCAACAAATTTTCTATTCTATTCACGTGCTGAGAGTCGTTTTAATTAGGTTAGCATTCATTTAGACGTAAACAGGATCTATTTTCTTTAATTATAATTCATGTTGAAATCTATTGAATATTATAATGAACAAGCTTTTAATATGTCAGTTATTTAGCCATTTTATTCATCTTGATATCCTTTTTTTCTGGCAAATAAATAACCAAACAGCACAAATTTATCTTTTCTGCATTTATATAAATAATGTGTTACTTTGTTGCATTTAAATGGACTTAACATTTTATTACTACTTTATAACTAAGCTCTAAAATTCCGCAATTTGAGTTAAAATTTGTGCATTCAAATATCTTTACCTGTTTTATAAAATTTTATCAGTATAGTAAAATTTTTTTTACAATCCACAGTTTGAACTGGAATCAGTTTCCTTCCTTATATAGTAAGTTGAAGTATAAAAATATGAAGTGGAAGATCTTTTAAAGAACTTAAAACATCGCGGTTAAAACTAGCGCTCCTCAAGAAATGCCCTGAAACATGCGATTTTGTTTCACAAATATGTCAATTTTAATTTTGCTTCTAATTTCTCACCATCTACTTCATTGACATTGCCACTTGCTCTACAAGCCTTTTCTTTTGCTGCTTCGTGCCATAATTCATATTTTAAACTGATTTTTCCGCATTTTATTGCTTTGGCTAAATCCAACTAAAATGTCAAACTTTAAAAGTATCCTAATGTAGTTGGTTTGCAAATCTCTGCAAAGATCTCCATCACATTCTAGCCTAGTTTCGAAGTACCGAAATTTCTTGAATTCAACATACACCGACTCGTTTGAATGCATACTTCTAGTTGAATAGGTTAAATTCGTATGTGCAACAATTTTCCCGACGAAAAATGCAGATCAGGTCAGCTTAGAAAATGGAAAGAAATTTGAAAAACTAGCGTCCCCAATTCATGACTTAGTTGACTCAGCTTAAAAATTGTGGTAAAAATGTGATAATTCAAGTGACATAAGTTCACTAATGAACTATGCTCATTTTCATCAAAATCAGGTATTTTACAGGCTCACTTCGATAATTAAAGGTGTATGTTCTTCTAGTTAACCATTCAAAAGGACAAAAAATACTATTTGCCCTCATTCGAATTAACAACGATAAAGTGTAGTTTAGTAGAGACATAACTGCTCTATTGGCGCATAAGAGGTATTAGTGATTCTCCATCTTATGCTTGCTCAAAAAACAGTAAATAAGTTTGCTGCCTAAGTGGCTTTCTCCTTATTCTCTCCATTACAGTTATTATACGTACATACACACACATATGTATCTTCGAGTTACTTTGGCACTAAGTTCTAAATTTGTTACCTCTTTGGACATTTTCTATTTGAGTCAAGCCTTTAAACCTTGACAGTTTGATGAATTGATTTGTGAAAAAGAAATATGTTACTATTATTCTTCACTTAGAATTGTCCAAAAGCCGCTAATGTGACAATACATGTTACTTGGGAAGTTGTTGCTCCAAGTCGCAATGGCACTTGAAAGTCGTGAATAATTCTACCGCATTTTGTAGAAAAGATTTAAACAATAATAGCGAGGCAGCTTTTGAGAAGGAATTACAGTGAACTAGAAGAATCAAAACAATTTGTTGCCAATTTCAACTCTTTTTATTGCGGTATTGATATCACATTCTTTAATTTGAAAAAGTTTCGCCAATCCAAATAAGCAATTTAGTATTTTTGGTTGCTAAGATATTGTGATGTCAATGCATTGTTCGCTTCCATAAAAGAATGCTTTCACACTGTGCAGTTCTATTTTGGATTCCTTTATTGCACATCAATTAGCTCCTTTCAACCCATCTTCCACCACTTGAAAGAATTTCGGTTTCCCGGTTGTTTCTTTTCCAATGATTGAACCATTGATATCCGATAAACCACAATAACCCTATTTAGCGTTCTTTCGTATGCTTTTTTACTAGTAGTTGTGCGTACTCGAATATAACCGATGCGATTTTACTCCTGTTATGCCCTAATACCCCATTGGTGATACCTTCTTCTCCTCTCTAGATCAGATTACATCAGACGATTGGCCAAAGAAGGTAGGCTAGTACATCACAGATGCACCTCAAATTAGTCTTTTTGGTATTCTTAGGCTTCTCTATTAAATTATAACCATTCGTTAAGGTAAACTTTTAATTTACATTTCATACCTGACTTTAAAATATTGGTAATAATTCCACAATTTGAGCAGTTTCTTCAAGTGAGAGCAATAAATCTGCGAATGGAATCCTAATATAAAGAACTGCACTTACTTATTGGTCGCAATCCTTTCATTTCAATTAATTATTCACTCAACATGAGTGTTGATCAGGCACATAACAGACCATACCTTTGTTCATGAAATGAAGATATTTACCCTTCGTCAGTTTTTTTTTCATGAGATGTTGGGTTCCATTGAGAGATCAGCACTCATATGCATCGAATCGTTGGTATTTTATTATAAAAAGTAAATTCTAATAAATTAAAAAAAGAGAATGTTTGACTTTGAAGATGAATCAGATTGGGCCGTGTCCATAAATCAAGAAATGATGGCAATTAGTGTGGTACTTTAATATGTCCACCTCTATCTATCGCGTGCTCTCCTTGTCTCCCATTGTGGGTGGTTGGAAAGCCCTTCCCAATTTAGTCCCTGTCTAGACAAATTTAAGATTTTACCATCTGTCGTGCTTCTTCTACCTATGCCCTTTTCATTTTAACCCAAACAGAGGGCGTGTGGTCTTCGCATTTTTGATCAGATTCTCTATATAGTGAGTGTGCACCTTGAAGCTGAAACCTAAATTGTTGTCAGATTGCTGCTGGGGTTAGGTAGGGAAGAATCACTTCATCTAAAGAATTCGGGAAATCTGCCCTATTTTTACTAAAATGTGTTGAGTAAATCTTTGTTTCTAGCATCTAATTTAAAAGGTGGACATTTGGTAGCATCGAAGAATCGAACTCTCGCCTTCGAAGGTATCTTCCATTCATCAATTGTATTAATTAGCTGGTTCTTTTATGAGTTGAGGGGGGGGGGAGACGGAATACAGAATGATTCATTTTGTGCAATTTATTCTTCTTCCATGGCCCTCGCTTAATTCTACAGAAAATTTTCACTGAAGCTAGTATTGAAATGAGGTAGATCAAAGGTTCGGCAGGTTAACCACCGAACCACTACTGACAGATCCCACTGACATTAAAATAGCACAAAGTGGATGCACAACTCCCACGAAAAGAAAAAACCTCATTCGTCTTTGTACATCTTCCAAAATTCCTCAGACCGGAAACCCCCATCATAATTTTAGTATTAAAGGGTAATTTTGCCCGCTCTTTCTCTCTCTCTCTGTGTGTGTGTGTGCGTGTGAATTCAGGGTAGCTATGATATAAAATCCAGTCACCATAATCTCCAAGTGGAAGGCGAAATAAAGTCGGCCTGCAAAGGACACCGAAAAGTCATAACTGGAATTCATTGATTGTCTTACCTATGATATGTCCCACTTTCTTCGACTACGGATGTTTCATGCGCACAAACGCAAATTTACCCCTGCCCCCCACCCCACCCTTTGTCCCTTTTTTAAAACTGACAATCTGATAGAAGGGAGATCAGTTTGACTTTTTACTTCCCTCTAGCAAATTCCATATTTGCTATAAATGCGCGATTCATTTTAATGCTATTAAAAGACAAAATTGAATTCCTGTAACTCTATTATTTTATATGTGTAATGTCAATAGAACTGTGAAGATCGACATTAATTTGTAAAACTGTGTACGGATTTCGCAATCTGTAAAAGTGAAATAATAGAGAACTAGTGGGAACTGCGGATAACTGTTTTTGTGCGGTTAGTTATATTAATATCTACCTCTCTCTCCCACACTCTCACCCCCTCTTAAGGACTGATTCATATCATGACCACAACTGCGAAAGGTCACAACGAAAGGGACGTCAAATAGAGGAAAAATCATTGTGCAAAAATTTCCGCAGTCAGTTTGATCAGTTGCATAACCATGTGGACTAATTCAATTCAATAATTAGTCCAGTATTGAGATTCCACTTATAAGAGCCTAATTTGGACTTCATTGGTAGTTGGCTATATATACATATTGCACAATTCAATCTTATGTCTTTGAAATAGGTTTGAAATTAGCTCGAACTTATTCAAAAGAGCCAAAAAGGAATGCATGATAGTGCCTTTGTGTTTAAGTAATCTAATGCAAACTGAATATTACATTTGGAACATGACTGCAGAATCCATTAGGAAAAAACATATTCTCTTGCAAAACCGGCAAATGTCCCGACCTTTAAAATTCATATGGTCCAACATTAATACTTCCTTCAACCCAACTTGAAACCGAGTTTGTTTCATCTCCTCGATAGCGTTAACGGGTCCCCTTTTCTCACTCTTTACCACTTTAGGAGATAGCTTAATGCTTAATTAAAAGAGCAAGTTGTTTTCTGCCTTAATATATTCCTTTGTTTCTCTTAAGATAGTTGTTAAGTCATGCATTTCAGTGATCAATTCAGAGTTCTAAATTTACCTTGAAGACTTAATTCAAACCATCAACGTGCAGAGATGAAGCGATCTTGATGTTTTACAGATCGCCTGGTCCTTTAAAGGTCACTTACTAGTCGTTGACACACAGTCACACACACACACACACACACGTGTCCCGAACGCAAATTTACACTTTTTAGATGCGACACACTTGACCCCCCCTATCGATTAACTTAATTGGCTATCCTTTACTGGAAGTGGCTTTCGGGTTTATTAGACTCTTCAATTTGCCTCTGATTTAATAAAAAGCGAATATATCAAAGCTTGTTTCCTGCAACCTGTTTGACGTTTTTGCTTTCTGGATGAATTCTCCATTTATCCTATGGAAATTAGACCTTTCACTTAAAATTCCATTATTTTAATGTAAAGACATCGAAATCAACTAGTGACTCTTCCTTTTAGACTGTGAAAAATGTCCAGCTCTCGAGGAATGTGAAATAGTCGTATGCTCGCACGAAGAACGAGGTGGAAAATTGGTTCCTATTACTGCGGAAAGTTGTGAACTCTCCTGTAACCATGTGGAGATAAGTTGTAAACGCTACCCCAATGGAAGGCTGGATTGGTATCCGTTTGATCCATGTGCTGTTACTACTACGACCACCCCGACTACAACTACTACCACTACTCAAGCCCCAATAATTCTGACAGAACATTTGTCTCCGTCTTACGAGTACCAAAATGCCCTTGAAACAACCGCCCAGGTCCCATTCTTTTTCACCTCTGGATCACATTCTAGTGACATGCTGCAAGACATGGACCCTGCTAGTTCTCTGGTTGAGCCACCTGCTCAGGAAAAGAAGCAGTCTTATGGGTTAAGTTGGTTGGTGTCTGAACCAGAACTTGAGCTAATCCTCTGGGTTATGTTTGGCGTCGCTTTGTTACTAATGCTAATAGGATTCGTTGGCCTTGGTGGCTTTGTCTGTTATCGAAGACGAATCAAGACGCAGATCAAAATTGCAACTGGTCCCCGATACTATGATGTCAATAGACAGCGAGCTTATGGTGTTGTTGCCTACGACACTAATACCTATAGTCCGGCCGTGGAATATGATAAGATACGCGGACTTAATGGTTCCTGTTATTGGTCTCCCCGACCAGATTCCCGTGAACCTGGATCTGTGAGACGAATTTCGTCACCACAAATTTCTGTCTGCTCTCCTTACTGCAATACTAGTCGACATGCTACGGCTGCCGTCGATCATAATTACGTTCATCACGCTTCAAACTACAGACTACCTGAAAGGGGAACGCCAATTAATTCAGCTTATCATCTGGTCACTTTTGCCCCTCCTGGGGAATCAATAGATGGAATTTGTAAAACGTCTGACATCTCCTTCATTCAAGGAATGGATTCTGGAGCAATTAGCTTAGAGAGGCATCCGTCTGATGTAATAACTATGTCCCCTGACAGACAGTTGTCAAACGGGGGATCTTCTTTAGGAGGCACGACTCCAATTCCCATCGGAAATGAAACTTTTCTTGTAAGTACTTATCACAGATCCAGCAGTTTTCGAAGTGGCGGAGACGGTGATGCTGAAATTCATGGACAAATCATACAACAGCAAACAAAAGTCTGAGACTGATAACTAATTTCCTCTGCTACTTTCCTTCTTCTTATACCCATCATGATGAATTTGAGAAACCCCTTTCCAAACGAATTCAATAACCCCCTCCCCCCTCCTTCTCGGCCCACTTACGCGATGGCCATTTCAATTTTAAACGAACGCGTACACACAAACCTACAAACTTAAAATGTGTGCTTGATACTAAGCGGAGTTTTCACCTATCTCCCTGTATAAATATGCATAAATATATATATTTACATATATAATTTAAAGTGTGGTCGAATATTACTAAGTAATTTATTATCATCAAATTTGTACTCCCAAAACTATTGCGTGAATTATGTAACTAATAATTGTTAGTGCTATGAAAAGTCATCTTCGAGAATAATTTGTCTAATTTAATATTTAAATATAAATATGCTTTATAAATACGTTTTCATTATTATATGGATAAATAATTCACAAATTTTATGATGCAAAGTTTATAAAAAGGTTATGACAGTAGAAATACCGATGCCTTATCTATTAGCCTGTTTATTAATTAACAATGATAATCATAAAGTTTAAGAAGAGCAGGTATCAAAATTATCAGTGTATTGAGATAATTTTTCGGAAATGAAGTTAAATTTTTGAATTTCAACAATTAATGGCGCCAAATTGCACTTTATTTTGGAAAATTTCCCCGTTTCAGGACAGCTTGTTATCGTAACGAAGTCTTTCAGCTCCAATAAATGGTAATTGAAAATGAAAGGATACTGTATGTAAGGGAATGTAAAACAGAACTTCTTACATCAGTACAACTTTTTTCGCCCCTCCTGTCGAACTGAAATTAGGTACCTTTCTACATTCAAATTTAGGAAAAAAACTGGTTGTTTAGTTAGTTACGATAAATTTGAAATTCCATGGGCCAGCTTGTAAAAGTAAATATGCGCGAGTCTTTGGATTTAATTGGGTAATTAGTTTAATTAGCTGAAGCGTTGTGATTAATGCGACAGGTGACAGTTGAGATGGAGAGATTGTATCAACCACACTTCCGCAAACGGCATTACTCCTTGTTTATGCAGCTGAAGTTTGATAGCGACGCCAATTTAGGAAACATTCTAGGGAATCAACAAATCTCAAAGTTGTTGAAAGAAAAATAGCTGATTTAAGTTGGATTAACTCTCCAAACTTTATCTGATATTTTATCATAGAAAAGAAGTAAAAGAAATTCTGTACATAATTGAAGGTCTGTTATTTAATTGATTGTGGCGAAATAAGGTCGATAATCATTTTACTGACTTTGAATTCCGTATGTTTTAATAAACCTTGACATCTTTTAGAGATTATTAAAAACTTTTCCAATCTGATTGTTGAAGGATTCACCGTCAGGAGATGCAGAGTGAGACTACGGAGCACGTTTGGACAAAAATGAAGGCGATTGATGATCACACCTACTTATGTGTATGCTTTCTCGACTTCTGGAACAAAAGTCATGACTCAAAATAAATGCAGCTAATACGACATTTTCCAACTAACTTTTTATAAATTAGAAATACAATAGGACTATAGATAAATATACATTACTACTACTTCCCCAACAGGCAAAATGTTGCTTTGGAGCTGGCCAGCTAAATAGAGTGCTTAAAAATGAGAAAAATGTAATAGGGATTGAGAACAGTTTGATTTAAAGTGACAATACCATAGTTAGGTTTGCGTGTTATGCCAGAAAATGATCAATATTTCCTGCTTGCCAATAAGTAATAATTATGCTAATTAAATTTAATTTGTTTAAACTCCCAATTATGTCCGTTTTGAGATTCGAACAAACAGTGACAGATCCATTAACTGATCTACAATACATCGCTAAAGCATGATTTCTTTATCAGACAAGGTTTATTTGTTACATTGTGCCTTAATTTTATTATTCAATGCTCAAGAAATCGTGAAATCATCATCACAATTTCCATTTCATCAAATTAATGGAATAATAATCAATTTAAGAATAAAACTAGACCACACCTAATGAGATAACGTTGATTGCTAATTGGCACATGTCCTGGTGTCCTTATTTAGCCTTGGCTATCGATTTTTTACCCGAATTTTGAAGACTCTCAACGGCAGACATTTCAATGTCAAATGCCTTTTCATGCGCTAAGATTTCCGTTACGACAAATAGATGGGTAATTTTCGCTTTCTAAGATAAGATAAATTGAACACTTCTCAACCGTGAATGTTTTTACCACGTAAATAGATCAGTGGAATATTATACCTACTCACAATAGCATACCCAAATTGTTGTTAGATATACAGTAATGATTGAACAAATAGTTCCCAAACCAAAAGCTGCATCTTGTAATATCAGTTCCACAGACTCTAAAAAATTTGAGAAGGTATTGAACCGATATTTGAATTAAAATTTAATTAAAAGAACAGGATAAAACATATCTGGCTCTTTTTGGACATCTTATTGGACAGATAGATGCACCGATGTTTACTGCTGTCTTTGCGCAGTATAATGAATCATTCAAAAATTTGCGATAGCATCCTAGATATCTCTTTACCCAGAGGGCAATTGAACAAAGAAACTCTCTAGCGAATATCGCATTTCATTGTTTTGATCTCTGTTTCCACTCTAATTTGCAGGCATTATCCATCCAAATGTGCATGCCAAAGTTCTGAGAATATCGGACAATTATAGAAAGGTGAACTTCCCATTTGTAGTTATTAACCGAATCACTAAGTTACTATAAATTAATTACCGCAATCTGAGACATGGACCAAGTAATTAGAAGTCATGGAACTTGAAACAATGGAATACCCGTAGATCACATTTATTTTGTAGCACAATTCCAAGTGCTGGGCTTGAAGACTCAATTTAAAGCATGTATTTACACTTTATCCTTTTCGATTGATTTTCACTTGCCTCTGTTAAAATTCATCTGATTTCTGTTTATCCAAAATGAAAAACAATGGATTTATTTTGGGCTGATTTCAATTGCAATATGATAACATAATATAGCCTGAAAGTAACTCATACCTGAAGCTATGTTTATTCCAAATGAAATCCAGGGGCATATTTAGTTTAGATGCGCATAGTGCTGTATCCAAAAGCTGGGTGCTGATTAGTTGAATTGGCGATGTGTCAAGATGTTTCAGAAAGTTTTGACTGTCAAATCATGTTCAATATTCTCAGATTCAGAAGGACGTCAATTTTAGTTTAGTCGACTGAATACTTGGAATACCTTGGAATACTTACTTGAAACAGCGATTTGTATCAACGTTTTAGGAAAAGAATGGAAAACATGGAGACCCTTGGACTATGCTTAAGGATGACAATTACTGTTCTAACTTTCATTCCCTTCCTACAGCTGATTCACTTCCCTTTTCTCCCTAACTTTTGATTGACTTTATTGTAATATTTACTGATAATGATAATAATCAGTGCTTCTTATTGTTAGGTAGTTATATCCGGTCGAACGAAAACTTTTTTCGACCCCTGGTAGCAAACTAAAGTGATATCCTCTTAGAAAGCTTTGTTTGACAATTGTGAATCAAAGTGTAATGATAAGTGCGTGTATATATATATATATATTACTATTTTAGTAAAGTAAAGCCTTTCCAAAGTAGCATTTTTAAAATCACAGCTGGTGCTGCTTAAATGGAGCAATTAAATATAAGCTCAAATGAAACGAAAATTGGCAAATACTTTTTTTATTTGTTAAAATTTTCACTGAGTTTCGAATTCCTTTAAATATTTCCAACGGCTTCGCTCCTTTCCTGGTGGCACCAAAATTGCTGAAATTTGACATAATCGCTCCTTTCTCCTCCTTCTCCTCTTCTTCTTCTTTTTCTTCGTCTTCTTTTTTCACCACGTCACGTTTTTCCCACTTTGCATGATATTTCTGATGTAAAAAGAAGAGGACCAATGGTATTGAAAAAAGCAAGTGAAAACGATGACTTGAATATTTAATATATCCTTCCAAAGTGAAATGATCAATGACGGTATCTATTTTGCCGGCACAAGCAAATCAAATATATTTGCTCAAACAAATGAAGGAAATTTATTTGTTCTATTGGGTGGACAACTAAGTCATTGCCGTTTTTGTTGACAGATGCACTCTATACTTTCTTTTGTTTTGTTAACGTGCCCAGAGCATCTAACCTATATGTTTTCTTACTGTATGGGCTTCTAGGTTAATTAGTAAAAAATTTTTTGTTTAGTTCTTTAGTTCTGTTTTTATCCCAATTTAAAAATGAAAGAACAGGACGTGCACTTCCGACACATTTTATTGTATTACTTCCGAAAAAGCAAGAACGCATCGCAAGCACAAAAGAAGTTATGTGCCGTATATGGAGATGAAGCCTTAAAAGAAAGGCAGTGTCGAAATTGGTTTGAAAGATTTCGTTCCGGTGATTTTTCACTGAAAAATTCACAACGATCTGGTCGCCCAGTCGAAGTGGATGAAACCCATATCAAGGCCATTATCGATTCAAATCGTCACAGCACAACACGAGATATTGCAGAGAAGCTCAATGTGTCGCATACATGCATTGAAAACAAATTAAAAACCCTTGGTTATGTCAAGAAACTTGATTTATGGATCCCTCACCAGTTAAAGGAAATTCATTTGACGCAACGGATTAGCATCTGGGATTCGCCGCTACTGAACGCAATGAGAATGATCCATTTCTGAAGAACCTAGTTACTGGCGACGAAAAGTGGATAGTTTATAACAATGTTACTCGCAAGAGATCATGGGTGAAGCAAGATCAACCAGCCCAAACAGTATCAAAAGCAGCAGAGATTCACCAAAAAAGATTATGCTGTCAGTGTGGTGGGATCACAAAGGAATTTTGTATTTTGAACTCATGCCGCAGAACCAAACGATAAATTCAAATGTGTATGTTGAAGAACTCGAAAAACTGAAGGATGCAATTGAAGATAAGCGGCGGCATTATCAAATCGGAAGAGTGTTGTTTTCCATCATGATAACGCAAGGCCCCCCCCCCTTCACATCTTTGGTTACTCG